CTTGTTGAATTACTCCCTTTATCATTATGAAATGACCATTTTTTTTTTTTTACTGTTGATTTAAAGTCTGTTTTATTTGATATAAGAACAGCTACTCCTGCCCACTTTTGGTTTCCATTTGTATGGAATATTTTTTCCTCCCCTTTACCTTGAATCTTTTGACCCTTTATGAATTAAATGGGTTACTGGGAGATAGCAGATATTTGGGTTGTGTTTTTTAATCCATTCTGTCAATCTATATCTTTTAAGTGGGGCTTATAGACCATTTACATTTAATGCTAATTTTGGTAAGTGAGATATTGTTCCATGTATCATGTTGACTGTTACCCAGTTACTTTGTATTCTCCCTTATGTTATCATTTTGTAAGTGCTGTCAGTTTTTACTTTTGAGTGTTGTTACAGTGATGAATATTGACCATTCTTTTTGATATTTAGAGCACTTTTTAGCCTTTCCTGTAGGGCTGGTCTAGTGGTGACAAATTCCCTTAGTGTTTGCTTGTCTGGTTTGTTTTCTCCTTCTCCAAGGTTTTATTTCTCCTCAATTATGAAACTTAGTTTCGCAGGATACAAAAGTCTTGGCTGACAGTTATTCTGTTTAAGAAAACTAAAGATGGGACTTCAGTCCCTTCTGGCTTGTAAGGTTTCCATTGAGAAGTCTGCTGATAGTCTAATGGATTTTCCTTCGTAACTTAACTTGATGCTTTTTGTCTTGCAGCTTATAGGACTTTCTCCTTTGCTTTGGCTTTGGCCAGGCTGCCTTGGTGATGTCCTATTTGGAATGAATCTTCCAGAAGTTCATTTACCTTCTTGTATCTGGATGTCTAAATCTTTAGCAAGACCAGAGAAGTTTTCCTCCATTATTCCCTCAAATAGATTTTCCATGCTTCTTCCTTTTTCTTCTTTTTCCTCAGGGATACCTATCATTCTTATTTTTCAGAGTTTTGTATAATCTCACATTTCTTGGAGATTTTGTTCATTTCTCTTGATTCTTTTAAAAAATTGTTTTGACTGGCTAGGTTAATTCAAAAACCTTGTCTTCAAGCTCTGAAATTCTTTCTTCTGCTTGGTTTGGTCTTGTTAAGACTTTCTACTGTATTTTGAGATTCCCTAATTGACTTTCATTTCTAGAAGTTCTGTTATGCTTTTTAAAAAATTATCTATCTTTTTTTGATTTTTCATTCATGTCCTGAATTTTTTATATATATATATATAGTGTGTGTGTGTGTGTGTGTGTGTGTGTGTGTGTGTGTGTGTGTGTTGGTTTTCTACTTTCTCACTGATCCCATTGAGCTTACTTGCAGTCCATGTTTTGAATTCTATTTCTGACATTTCACAAATTTCCTTTTGTTTGGAATCTATTGCTAGAGAGTTAGTGGTCAATGTGATCCTTTGCGGGTGTTGAGAGCTCCTATTTTTTCATATTGCCAGAGTTCGTGTGCTGGTTCTTTCTTGTTTGGATCCTCTTCCCTCAGCTCAAAGCAGATAAATTTGAGATTCACCTGTTCTCCTCTGCTGTGAACTCTGCTGCTCAGTGCAGAGATGGAGAGGTACACTGCCTTTTGGCTCATGCAGGTAGGTAGGTAGCTGCTGTGGTGCTGCTGGCAATTTGGTTCAGTTGGACCTCAGACCCCTGGGATAGTGTTCAAATGCCAGCCATGGTGGTCTAGGTTAGGTAATCCCCCAGTCCCAGGTCTCTGGATGACATGCTTGAGTCCTAAGGGGACCAGACCAAGACTGGGATGGCAAACTTGCTGTCAGGCGCTGGCTGTGATAGTGAGGGGTGGAGTGATCTCCTGCTCCAGAAGAATGCTCAGGCAGGAGAAGGGTGGATGTACTGTGAGCCTGCTACAGGAGGGGCAGGTCCCTCTTGATGAGATTAGCAGAGGGAGGTAGCTGTGGGATGCAGACGCTGTTCACACCTCTTCTCTCAGCAATGACAGTGGCCTCTGTTCTTCAAGGACACAAAAGTGCCCAAATTTCCAGCTCCCACCCTGACCCAGCTGCATTGGACGTGGTAGGGGCAGCTCAATCTGCTGTGTGCAGGTTTACCAGAGTAGCTCTGGACTGTGGCTGAAATGCTTTGGCAGGGGATGTATGGTTGTGTCAGGAACTTGCCTCTAGGGTGGGTGGTAGCTTTAGTCCTTGGGGAACACGAAAGCACTTACTGCGGCTTCTTAGAGGGAAGAGCATACCCCAAACCTCCATGGAATCCTGGATGTGACAGGTGCTTTGTCAAAAGTGGGGCAGCTACTCCTGACTGCTCTGGCTTAATCTTCCCCTGTGGAACCCTTGCTGGTCCTAATCAGAAACAGACATGGCTGCCTCAGTAGCAGTGGGCAGAGGAGGGGAGGAAGAGGAGAAGGCCCTGAATGGTGGGGAGCTCGTGTCTTGTTACCCTTTGTCCTAAGGAGCCCTCTGGTGTGCTACACTCTTCTCTTGGCTAGAAGTAGCCTGTCTTGAATGCCCAAGCTCCAGGAGACCCACAGTTCCTCTGGGACCTACTGGTCTCCCAAGGCTGCTGCACACTGAGTAGATGCTAGGGAGTATTGGTTGTGGATCCGGTGATCTCAACCCAGGGGCTGAGATTCCTGGATTGGGACAGGTACAAAAACACTGCCTGTCCATGAAGGGAAGGAAATGAGCAGCACCCTCTGTGAAGAACCTGGGCACTGTGGGCAGAGTACTCTTGGGCATATGTGCCCCCCTGCAAGCCTAGACCTGTTTGTTCCACAATTCACCAATACCAAAAGCTCATGCTTGGGAGCAGAGGTGGCTTTGTACCCAGCATCAGGTGGTTGGAGGAGGGGAGGTCTCTATCTCCATGTCCCTTCCTGGGCTGCCTAGCTTCAAACTCCCAAAATGGCACTTTAGGCCTGTGACCAGAGATGGTGGGGCCCCTTCCTGGCAAGCAGCATGGGCACGATGTTGGGGGAATGCCATCTACTTGCATCTTGATCTCACCGCAGTCTGTAGCAGTTTGGTAGGAATCGTCCTAGATGTGTGTTGAAGCGTTTGAACTCCCTTCTCCCTTCTGAGCTGAGTGCAGGTGGTCAGTTTGAATTCTGGCTGAAGGAGGGGCACTGCCTGGCTTTAGACTGCCCAAATGGTGCCCTGGGCCTGTGGCCAGAGGGGGTGGAACCCTTCTCAGACAGGCTGCACTGGCAGGAAACTGTAGGAGTGCAATTAGCTTGAGTCTCGGTCCTACAGCAGCTGGCTGCAGGATGGTGGGTACCATCCCAGATGTGTGCTGGAAAGCCTGGTTTCCCTGCCCTTCCCCAGCCAGGCAGGGACTGCAGCCACATCAAGCTTAAACTCAGCCTGTGGTATGGGCACTGTCCAGTGTAAAACTCACAAAATGGTGCCTTGGACCTGTGACCAGAAAGGCTGGGGACTCACCCAGGCAAGCAGCATGGGTGTGAAACTGTGGAAAATGCTGTCCGTTCATGTCTCAGTCTCATTTGCAGCCCACAGCAGGACAGTGGAGACCTTCCCAGGGATGCACGGGAGCACCTGGGCTCTATCCCTCGCAGTGGCTACAGGCTTGCCTGTGGTTCCCTAGCATCTAGGCTTTCAGAATGGTGCCCGGCTCAAACTGCTCTAGCTGGCTCAGATGCCTGTGGGATTCCGTGTTAATACTCTTTGTGCAACAATGTCTCTGTGCAATCTCCAAGTAGCTCCCTATGTTAGGCCGGAGATGTGCATGGTTGGGGGCTTGCTTCTCTCTCTTGTAGCCAAGATCATAAAAGCTTGTCTCAGAGAGTGGAGCCCCGGGGGCTTCTCTTAAATTATTTCACCACATCCAGGAACTTCTCCCAGTTATTAGCCAGACCCCAGCTGGGCAAGTTGCCCTGAACCCTCTCCTTACCCACTTTTGGTGCTTCCTGTCACTTCCCTGGTAAATCCTAACATTCTCTCCTAGATGGTCTGTTCAAAATGTGAGAATCTGCTTACTATTCTGGTTCCTCTCTCTGGAGGAGGCATATACTATCTGTGTCTAGTCATCCGCCTTAATCATATTTCAATCATATTTTGATTATATAAAGTATGTATATATATTTTTTGTACTTGACTATAAGCAGTATATTGCTTTTCTCTTGAGATTAATGCAATTTCTGTTTTTTTAATTTTTATTTATTTTTGGGGGGAGGGGAGGGGATGATTAATGCAATTTCTTGTCTCAGATTTCAAGATAGAAATTTTCTACTTTTTTGGATTTTCATAATTTTTAAACTATTTAAGGAAAAAAGTAACACTTCAGTGTAGGAAGAACTGGTAAGGTGTGTATAGGCATGCAGGTATACACATACATGTATATACATACTAGTTAAGGATATATATGCAATTTCTATATTTGTATGTCTATGTATATAAATAAAATTGATGGATAAATTACTTATTGAGGTTTTTTTTTTAAAGAAACATCTTAAAATTGTAGATGAATTCTTAATAAAAAGATATCTCAGCTATTTTTAGATGTTGCATCTATTGGGAGTATTAGCAGTATGCTTGATATAATGTTTAAACTGTTGCTGATTGAGGTGAATTAGTTGTAAGTTACATTGTAGCAGTATGAGCAGCCTATTTGTATTCTAACTTGACATTCTTTGATAAAAGGCAAGAGGGATGGATGGGAAAAAGGGAGATGTTGGTCAAAGGATGCAACTTTCAGTTAGACAAGAGGAATAGGTTCCAGTGATTTATTTCACAGCATGTTGACTATTGCTAATAATCAGGTATTGCAAGTATATTTCAAAATTACTAAAAGAGTAGATTTTAAATGTTCTTACTGCAAAGATGGGATAAGTAGGTGAGGTCATGGATGTGTGAGCCTGATCTAATCATTCTACATTGTGTATATGTATCATAACCTCACATTGCAATATATGCAATTTTTGCCAACTAAAAAATAGTAATAAATATTTTTTAAAAGGTAAAAAAAGTCAGTATGTTTGTGTATAATGATTTACATTTCTAAAAGAGAGTTTTTTTTCTTATTTCAGGCAACCTAATGAGACCTCTTTTGAATTATGGTATTGCTTGGTGAGCATATATTTTTACTTTATGCTACTTTTAAGAATAATATTGATTAATTTATACAAATTAGTTGTATTTTTGGATTACTGTTGCAGTATGTCTATGGGCTTCCTGATTGAAGAGACTGCGCCAGTCGTTTGGAGAGGCCTTATGGTCATGTCAGCCATTGAGAAACTGTTGAGGCAGGTAAGATGATTGCATTAAATACCATTTTATCATTGGCAAAGCTGAGCATGCATTCGATGATTGGAGAATTGTTAAAATTTGCAGTCAGATTTGAGTTGTTTTACAAGGGAATTAGTTGATGGGATGAATGCATAATGAGTAATGTGTCATCTAATGAGTTATGTGGCTCCAAGACCAAATTTCGCTGTTATATGATTTAATCTTTCACATTGCTTGTGAGTACTAAAAATCCTAATGTCTTGTTTAATATTGTTTTGTTGCCTTGTTGTGTCTGCTGTGAGAAGAGCAAATCTATTTTATAAGTAATTTTCCTTCTTTAGATTTTATGGTTAATCTCATTGTGACCAATATTGAATTATAAGGGTAGTATAGAAATTTTTCAGCTATAGGAAGAAATTATATAAGTCATGGCACTTGTGGTTTAAAATTAATTCAGAAAAAAGTGAAATTTTGGTTTACTCTGAGTATATATAGTTATATATTTGCATGTGTAACATTTTTCCAATCAACTTTAACTTATTCTTAAGAAAGTAAGAGAACATTTGAATAGATAACCTAAAAATATCAGGTGGGCTATATGTTATTTATAGTTCGCTTAAACTACATCTTATTTTTTTATTAGTAGATGTTAGTTTAAGATTGTGGTCTTGATAAATATTAAAATTACTTGCATTCACTTTATCAATTTACAACAATTACCCCTTATTTACTCAGATTCTACTTTGGATCAGGCACCATGCTATAGGTTGACAGTTCTAATGGTAGATACTTCTGTATTCATTTTAAGATGCACAAGTGATTAGATGAAATATATCTTGAACTCTGAAACTCTTCTTTTTTCACCGTTGCTTCTTGTCTTTGTACCACTTCTGCTGCTTGAGTTCTGATAAATGTGCTCTTTGATTTTTGGTCTCAGACTCCTTTTATTCTCTAAGTCTTTGGCTTCATTGGTCTTGTCTTTTATACTCAGATCCTGTAGTTGGTTATTCAGTTATACTCCCCGAAACACCCAATCCTCACCATTCCCTTTGTGACTGTGACCTTTATTTGTCTGGATTAATCCAGCCTCTCTTTTCTCTACTGCTGGATACTGTCGGAAAACATAGAAATTTGTTAATTGCCTGCGTTATATATTTTTGATATCCGAATTTAGCTATCCTCTTAACACTTCAGTCATCTGATTTTATTTATTAATCTTCTCAACATTTCTCAAAAGCTCAGTTTGAAAAATGTTTAGGGAATTTGGTAGTCTAACAGAAGACCAAGTGGAGATTTGGTGAAAATGAACTCTCTGACACATACATTGTATAAAAGTCAGAGTTTATTCTGATAAGCGCTGAAGGTACATTTTCAGCAAATATACTACAAAATATCAGAGTAAATGAAAGATACAGTAAGAAAATTGATCTGTAGCTTATTTTATTGCTATGTTTAGGGGTTACCTAGAGTAGTGAATGCCCTGCATATCTACCTTACTGTCTTTTGTAGTCACTTTCATCTGTGCATTTTAATGGGAGCTGAAAAACAGATAATTTAGGACTATACTATGGCAGTGCCGACCATCTGAGGTGGTAGTTAAAGAGTGTTTTTGCTTTTGTTTTTTGTTTTGATTTAGAAACCAGACCAGCATTTGATAAGTTTAACATCTTTTGTGAAAATTTATTAGCTGGATAGAAGTTCTGTACAGCAGTGGATTGAAGAGGGTACCTGATTCACTGGCTGATTTTAAAAAATGTCAAATATAACATATATACAGAAGTGTGTACAACCATAAGTATACAGATAGATAAATTGTCCCAAAGTGAAAACACCTATATAATCATTTTTCAGGACAAGGTGTATATTAAATAGAACAATACCAGTGTTCCAGAACCTCTTCTCATGTTCCCTCTTAGTGACTGTTTTTAGGGAGAAGATAAATACTGTGGTCAATATGCCATCTTGAACTATAAGTCTGATTTTAAATTGTTTTGCTTTTTTGTCTCTCCCCAATAATATTTTATTGAGCTAAAATAATGCATACAATGTGATACGTAGATTTTAAGTATATATAGTTCAATGATTTTTGATAAATATATATACCTATATAAACACACCCCACTCGAGATAGAGAACATTTCCATCCCCCTAGAGAGTCTCCTTGGGCCCCCTTCTATTCAATCCCACACCCATAGGCAATTATTGTTGTGATTTCTATCACCATAAATGAGTTTTACATGTTCTTAAACTTCCAGTAAATAGAATCATACAAAATGTAGCCTTTTGTGTCTGGTTTCTTTCACTTAGTCCAGGGCTTTTGAAATTCAGCTTTGTTGTTGCGTGTATCAGTACTTGGGCTCTCTTTTTTGCTAAGTAGTATTCCACTGTATGAATATAACAAAATATTTATTTTTTCTTCTGTTGGTAGACATTTGGATTGTCACCAGCTTTTTGCCATTGTGAATAATACTGCCATGAATACTTTTACAAATGTTCATAAGAGTTTCAGTTACTTCACTTCTTTGTCAACATTTCGTGTGTAGTTTTAACCATTCTAGCAGATATAAAATGATGTCTTACTATGGTTTTAATTTGCATTTCCCTGATAATCAGTGATGTTGAACCCCTTTTTCTGTGTGTATTAGATATTGCTGTATTTTCTTTTGTAAAGTGTCTGTTCTACTCATTTTTAAAATTGGCTTATTTTTCTTTTTGTAATTGAGTTGCATGAGTTTTTATGTATTCCTCATATGAGTCCATTGTCAGATACATGTATTGGGAGTATTTATCCCAGTCTGTGGCTTGCCTTTTTGGGCTTAAGTTTTAAATTTTAGTGAATTTGAGTTTATTAATTTTTTTAATACTTAATGATTTTTCTATTCTTCTTAAGAAATATTTGCCTGCCTCCCCTAAGGTTGTAATGATATTCTCATGTATTTTTATCACGAAGCTTTATAATTCTGGCTTGTACATCTCAAATTAATTTTTATGAATGTAGTGCGATAAAGGTCAAAGTTTATAATTTTTCATTGTTTATCCAGTTGTTTAGCACCATTTATTTGAAATATTTCCCTTTCTCCATTGAATTAATATGATAAATTAGATGAAAATTAACTATACTTGTGTGGTCTATCTCTGGATACTCAATTGTGTTCCTCTGATATGTTTGTTTAATCCTTACCATACTGTCTTGATTATCCTAGCTTCATAGAAGGGTTTAAATCAGGAAGTGTGAGTTTTCTAATTTTGTTCTTTTTCAAGATTGTTTTGGCTACTCTGGTTTCTTTTATATTTCTATATAAATTTTAGATTCATCTTGTCAATTCGTGCAGAAAAGCACGTTGATGTTTTTGTTAGGATGGTGTTCATTGTATAGAACAATTTTGGGTGAACTGAGATCCTGATAATGTTGAGTCTTCTGTCCATGACCTTGGTATATTTCTACATTTATTTAGATTTACTTT